GCAGAATATGGCTTCATGCCTGGCATCTGCCTACAGAAGCAAAACACAGCTCAAACTCTGTGTTAAGTCCAGCTGCCCTTCCAAGTCCTCTCCGCCCGCTCTGTGTGCACCCTTGGAAAACAAGGTTTTCTTGTCTCCTTTGATGTCCAGGTTCCTGAAGCCGTGCACCACCACTCCCTCTGAGTGCACAGAGAGCAGGCAACTCCATCTCCACATCTGCTGAGGGAAGGGTCTGTTTAAGCTCAGAATAGTAGTTTTCAGAGTATCTCCAAATGCAGGCAAACTACTGTGTTTGTTTTTCTAGTTAGCCAGAAATGACCACAGTAACATCCTGAACCTACACAGTAAGTATGATTTGATATCTGCTGGCATCAACACTCATTTTCCCTCTGCAATGATATGTTAGCTGTGATCAAAACATGAGAACTTGGTCTATAGTCCTGGACTGAAAACGTCTAAATCAGTAGCTTGCAGGCCATGGTCAGCAGATGCTCAGTTGTCCATGAAAGTTTTCCAAAAAGTAAATAGGGGGTGAGAGGAGGGTGTCTCTTTGGAAACGGCTGGGGAAAATGGACCAAGTGAGACTTGCTCCTCCAAGCAAAGTGTAGTGGAAGACCAATTCCATGAGATGCTGTGGGGCATTGTGCTAAATGTGCTGCTGATGAGATCCAACAGACTCAGTCCTTAAGAAGCTGCTATTTGGATTATTTTGTTAGCTTGGCTGGAATATTCTTTTTGAATAAGCAGTAATATATTCTCTGCCATCCTGGATGTGTGCCAGTAAAAGTCCTAAACCTTTCTTGCTACCATCTGTATATAATATAAAGGGTCATTTATAATCTCTGTAAGCCATGATGGGGCCTTTCATCACTTTGTCTGAAGCCTGTTTGCATTCTGAAGGCTGTTCTTGTTGACTTTTGGCTTGCAAAGGGAAATCTTGGGGTGGTTTTGTCTGTGTCTCTGTCATAGTCACTGTGCTATTATAGCTACAGTGAATCTCAAGCTGTATATCCTAATGCATCTTATGATCAGCTGTATTCCTGCCTTTCAGTCTCACCTGCTTCTATGTCACAGTAAAAAACCCAAACACCTGAAAGTTGTATTTGTATCAAAATTACGCTATTTATTGGAAGCCAAGAGTGTGATGTTTTGCAAATGGGAGTGGACCTTTCCCTCCTGGGTGGGTAACTTTTGTAACCAAACCCATCTGTTGCTAAAGAGAGAAGTCAGAAATCTGTTAATATCCGATTATCTGAGTATCTTTGGGGTCTGGCCACTTTTTCTGCCTTTGGGATCCATGTTGTGGTAGTTCTACTTTAGAGAAGGCTCTGAGAACGCTGAGGTGACAAGTGTTGTGGCACTTTATAATTGTCACTGCACTCTTGATGCTCCTGCTGAGGAAGGTTGTTCTTAGATTTGAGTGAAGCATCTGTTAGTTTGCCATGGGCTGTCAGCCTTGTTCAGCCTGACAAAGCAAGGCGGTGGCTTCAGGCAAGACAAACAATGAATGGAGAACCTTGGGGAAGCTTCTCACTTCCTCTAATGATTGTTTCCTTTTCTAATAGGTTCCTGAGCAGGTAATCTGAAGAAATGAACTTGCGAAAGTGTTTGGTTTCTCCCCATAGACATGTGCAGGTTGCTTGTGCATGAAGCTTTTGCAGGCCTGAAGCAGTGTCTTGTGCATTGTAGTGTGTGACCTTTACCTCTGACTGCTGCCTAAGGCTCTGTCACTAGAGTGTAACAAGGTCTGTCCAGGACATCTCATGTCCAAGAAGGACTTTTCCAAGGTAGAAATTGATTGCCAAGTTCCTTGGACTTGCAAGGGAAAACATGTACCTTAACAGTTTATTCCAAGGACCAGGTAGGGCAAAGGTGAGACCTACTCACTCAGCAGTTTTGGACTCACTTTGAAAGAAAAATCAATGTGCATCCTAGCAGCGCCCACTGAATGAAAGCCTCGGCAAAAGCAGCTTTGTAGGTGGCCTAAAATAATCAGCCTTTCTTGCTTTTTTTTTTTTTTTTTCATAGGCAGCCTACACAGTGCCACCTGTTTAACTTCACATCCACAGATGTAGCACCAAACTCCCAAACTGGTTGAAAATAATCCTTGAAGGAGCAAGATGATGTTAAATCTGGGTCTGGGCAAGGGAAATCTAAAGACAAGTTAGAGTTGCAATTCAGAGCTGCTGTTATACATGAACCAGAGCAGACAGGCTGCCAGATGCCCTCTGGCAATTGTGGAGTCTGCCTCCCAACACCTGCCTCCTGCATTGTGCTGGGGTGTGTGGTGGTGTTTGTCTTTGTTCGCCTTCCCACCTCATTTGCCTCCAGGAATATGAAACTCTCTAGTTTCAGCATCAGGTATGGAGGGTTTTGCTCGGAGTGTAGTTGAATTTTTTTTATTTAGTTTTAATCTGACACAGAAGTGCTTTGTTTGTACTTGAGAAAGTGGGGCAGGTTGTCTCAGCAGCCCAGCAAAATCAGTATTAGAGTAAAATAATCAGTGTAGGATAATCCAGTTCCACACCATGGAAACAGTGCTTCTTCCCAGATGACTCTGATGGGAAAAGGCCAGAGAGAGACACATACAAGCTACATAACCATTATAGCATAGCACGTGTAAATACTAGATGTGTTTGGATTTCATTGACAAGCCAGGAAATAGTCTTAACATGAAGGGAGGCTCTCAGGTCATCAATAATTATGCTCCTTTAAAAATGTCCATCTGAATTTGTTAGTGTTCATTTCCCTTCATGCTCTGTTACATATTAGTTTGCATGCTACTACTTCATGCCTCTCCTGTGGCAGGACCAATTTCTTTTCTCATTGCATATAAATGAGAAGGTTTGCTTTTCATAATTTTAGGACACATGCTTATGCCATTATCCTCTCAGGTTCTGTGTACATGCCATTTGTTTTTCTTGACATGAAATGCTTTTGCCTTGAGGCTGTGCAGAAGTCTTGTGGCTGTGAGCACTGTGCTAGAAACCTGCTCAAGGTAAACTAGAGAGAGCTGTGGTTTCCTCTGTTCCTGTCATACACACCATTTCTCCTGGCTGCTTTTTCTACCTAGCTCAACTGGCTGTTCCCATGGCATGAGATGTTGCCCAGCAATGCCCGACTGAACAAACCCTATAACTAAGGCTTGGATGGATAAAATGGACAACTGCATCATGTGTGCATGTGAAACTAAACAGCAACCTTTACTTTGAATTATCACATTTCCAGTCTTTAGCTTTTGTCTGTTTCTTCTAGTTTGGCTCCTTAAACTTTGTACAGAAGTTGTATTGAGCCTCTTAAAGGATTTGCTGCCACCATGTGAGGTGGAACCTCATTAATCACACATTTTCTCCTATTTTGCCCTTTGGTTCTATGATGTAGATGTTAGTAGAGACATTTGGGTATTAGGGTGGCTGATCCCTATATATAAACCACAGATCCTTAATAAATCAGAGAAGTGGTTCTCCAAGGCCTCTCCACCAGCCCGGGGGTGACCTGAGATGTGACTGTAGTCCATCCTTCCTGATGAGGAATCCTGCAAGTGGAGCAGGAATTGCACTGGGAGCAGGAGTAGTGTCTGCAGGGACAGCTGCATGGGTCTGCCCTGACACAACGGATGGGCTTGATGCCACTGGGTGGAAAGCCACCCTCTCTCTGGGTGTCCCAGCTCTGCCCTCTGGCTGTGCCGAAGGTGCGGTGAGCAGCCTGCTGGCCCCAGCTTGCTCCCTGTGGTTTGCAGCGCTCGGCTCAACTGCTGGCACGCCTTCCTCCTATTCATGGAAACGAGAGTTATCCAGAGAGCTGGGAACCTCCTGCGGAGATAGGAGGGGAATACAGAAAGGAAACAAAATGCAGCAAATGTTGTAAATGGAAAAAAAAATTAAACTGCCATGGGGAAAGGTGGGTTAGGTAAGGAGGAGGGGATGCCTCCTTTCAGCTGTGAAAGTAGGTTGATTCTAGGTAAGCAAGACTTGGGAGTCACTGTGATTCTTGGAGAAGCATGCAGCTGTACTAGGGGCTTTTGATGGATGAGGAGCAGTACTATTCTGCGTGTGCAGGGAGTGCTTACTTAAGCACTTTGTGTTTTGGAGCACAAGCTGGTGTCTCAGTCTCCCATTAGTGACCCTAGGGTTCTGATCCCTAATCAATAAGAAAGTGGCTCTCAGACCTGCTCAGTATGCTGAGGTATGAAAGCAGAAATGTGAACCAGTATTTGGCAAATATGAATGATGCTTGCAAGGGGAAAATTAAAATATCCTTCCCCCCAAGCATGATGATGGAACCTAAAAACATTTCAGAGAGGTGAGCAGGGTCTGTGGGTCCTGATTGCCAGGGCTGATATTGCAGGTCCTACCTTCACATCTGCCTTATGATGAAGTTGTCTCACTCTTTTCTTATGAGACAGCATAAAACTCTTGTCCCTCCTTCCCCTGCATTTTCCCTTGCACATTTTTAGACTGTAAGCTCACCAGGACAGAAACATGACTTTTTCTGCACCCGACTTGTTCAAGCCCTGATGACAATGAGCCCCACCACACAAAAAGCAGAATTTTCCAACTCAAATGTTGTTCAGAATGGTAGGAGGCTGGGGAATGATACCATGATGAGCAGGATGAAATTAAGACCAGTACAATGGGAACTGACTATCAGGAGATTTGGAACACTTTTTTTTTTTCCTTTTTAATTTTTTTCCTAAAATCCTATTGTTTACGATAACTAACAGAGCTAAATTATGTACTATAAAACTCTGGCCTCTGAGGACCAAGCAAGAGGCGTTGCTGGATCTCTTGTGGTTCAGGTTGGCAGAAGCTGGGAATCTTTCTGCAGCTATTGGGAGGAAGAGGGTGGGGTGAGAAATGAAGACTGCAAGTTAGCCTGGCTATGGCTGGCAGAAGAAACAACCGCACCCCCAGATACTTTGTCTGTTTTTACTGCAGTCTGATACATGTTGGTTTAGCTTGCTGTCTAACTGGGGCTAACTGTGTCCTTTCTCTCTGCAGGCACTGGTGTCACTACACGGTCACACGGACAGTTTCTTGCCAAGTGCAGAATGGGTCAGAAACGGTGATCCAGCGAGTTTATCAGAGCTGCCGGTGGCCTGGACCTTGTGCCAACTTAGTGAGGTAAAGATCTTCATGTTTCATGCTGCCCAAGTTTGCCTGCATTTCTCATGACTTTGGTTAGCTTTTAAAGTACTGTGTAGAAAGAAGGTTGAGCTCAATGGGTCAGATGCTGATATCCTGGAACTAAAGAATGCCACTGCAGAGTATTAAAACATGAAGGTAAGTGTAGTGTAAGGGACAAGCTACAGGAAAAAGCTTAGGTTAGGTTGTAATGCCAGTTTGTACTCCTCCACACAGGAGGCTGCTGCTAGTCAGGCATGAAGCTAAATAAATATAAAGTCCAACATGGTGCAGTGTAACTGAAGAGGGTTAGCAGGGGTGCTGGACCAATGGCACTATGTGGCTTGTTGGTTTTGAGTCCTCATGCTGAGGTCGTTAAGGGTGGTGTTGATCACACACACTGGAAAGCTTTGATCAGATTCTTTGCATCTGGTCATGGACAAAGATCCTCTACCTGTTGGAGTGGAATTTTCTTGCAGTACCTCTTACCTTCTGCATCTCAGTGTCCTTTAGAGACATGCATGAAAGCACAGTGTCCCCTCTCCCCGGAGGAGAAACAAAGCTTAGAGGTGGTGACTGGTCAAAAACTTGCCCCAGGTCTGCCATTAGCTGACTTTGCCTTTCAATCACTTACAGTCTTGGGACCCACTTACATTTAAGAAAAAAACCCAATAGTTATCCCCAGTTAGCACCTTTCAGAACCCAAAGTGGCTTTTTATTGTTGAGCTTTGCCTTCTCTGAGAGACATTCTCAGAGCAGAATAGTGTTACCCACCCATCTGGGAATTGGTGCAAGAAAACCATTGTGCTCTAAGTTTACACCTAGCTTCTATAACAATTTCCCATGTAGACAAGCCCATAACTTAGTTCACAAAGTTTAGTCTTTTTTTTGCTATTGTTACTGGTTCACCCACAGGGCACTGACTGAGGTCTCCTTGTACTTGACAACACAGCCAGATTGTGGTTGAAGTACTCACTTAAATACCCAGAGATCCACCTTCCCAATCTGTTCTTACACCTCTTCATCTGGAATTCAGATTTTCCATGTGGCAGTTACCAGGGTTGCTTCTCCACTTTCTACTTGGCCACTGGTCAGTCTAAGTTTTTTTTCACTTGTAATATATCTGCTTTGGTGTCTCTTTGGTCTTGTTTTATGCAAGGTTGTGGCTGAAACACTTAATATTTTATGCTGTCATGGCCAAACTTCTGTTCAAGCTTTTTAATTTCCCAGACTTTTTACGCACATAATTGTCATTAGAAACTTGTGAGCTTTCACCTAGTCTCCTAAACTTGCCAAAGATCTTGCTTATTTTTCCTTTTTGACATAACTATAGTTTCATAAGTTTCAAACAATTGATCGTGTAACGGGTGAAAATCCTTTTTTGTGGGCTCCTGCAGTTACTCATGTACATTGATTCTTACATTGTTAACCCAGAGACTTTAGGAGTAGTGTGTGCTGTTGTGACATTGTTATTCATGGAACGTTTTCAGTTTCAAATGTAGTTTGGTTCATTTGCCTGACGAATCCAATTGTTTGGAGACAATGCAGAATGGCAGCAGACTTCTCAATTTTTCTATGTGAAAATATCATGGAAAGAAGCTGGGGTTACTGATATTTAAGATCTCAGCTGGTGAAAGCTTAGCTGACAGGAGCTGAGTTTCTGGAAGATAGTCACCATGAAGGGATCTACCAGAAGAGACAGGAGAACATTAATGTTCTGTTCCCTTTGCAAGTGGGAGGAAATGCAAGCGAAGCAAAAGGCTTCTGAGGAAATGACTATACTGTCTGTCCTCTAATGGTGCATTGTGTGACAATCTTGCACAAAGTAGAGAGACTCTGGACCTCTCTCTCCTAAGAACCTTCAGAAAGCTGCTAACAAATACTAGAGGCTACCCAGTTAGAACCAAAGGTAAAGCAGGAGTGACGTGCTGGTTCTTGACCATTTCCGATACTGTTCCTGTACAAAATGGAGAGCTCCAAGAACAAGTAGGAATGAAGTCAAAGCCACTGATGTCATGAGACTTGAGTGGGTTGTTAGATAAGTTATTTCCATCCCAGACATCTTTTATAAGTAGTTGCTTGTTTTCTAATTTCTGATAATGGAATGAAAAATAGCCACAAAAAAATGATGACTTTAGTGACATGTAACTATCATGAGCAGTGTTTGGTAACCCTGAGTCATGCTGTACAATTGAGGTCTTATTTCCTGGGCCTGTGCAGCAGCCTATCAATATTATGTTGCCAGCATCTAGGGATATGTGAACAACTGGTTTTCTCTTTTCTAAGAGTAAAGCTGAGGCCACAGGAGAGGGCTTACACTAGCTTCACAGGGAAGCACAGAATCCCTTGTGTCCCTAAACACCATCTCTAGGTCATTGGTCCTTGAGTGTGTACCTGTAATATGAAAGAACTCTATTTTGCCTATAGTCCTCAATGAGTGCCTGCTTGACAGTATCTACTCTGCATGATAGGTCCAGCAAGAAAGCTTCACAAGCCTAATCCTTCATTTCCATTAACCAACATTGTTTCTCTTTCCTTCTTACCTTTTTCTCTACCAGCAGCTCTGTCTTTTCAGGGGTTCTATAAGTCCAGCTTCTGGGGATGTCAGACTTACTCCAGGTCTGCTAATGGTTAGAAATGTTCATGCTCTCCATATCCCTGTGATTCAGGTAATAGAAATATACTTGCTTTTCTTTTGCCAAAAAGACAAAGGTCTTCTGGCCTTCTCCTGTTCTTCTCTAGTGAGATTTCTGGTGCCTGAGCTTGAAGGGATGGGGGGGGCACAGCCAGGTTCATGTAGTGTTACGCTTCACTCTAAGCAATACAAAATGTTGGTAAAACATTGGCATTGTTTTGGCTTTACAGCATTTCTCCCAGCTGTGACTTGAAGCAAACTGTTTTCATCTCCTTGTTTAAAGGGAGTCAACCATATCTGGGAGAGCTTTCATTCTGCCAGCACCCGTTATCGGGCTGCTCACTAGCAAAAGGGACGCCAGCCAAAAGAAAAGGCATCTTTCAACCTCGTGGTGACAGCTGAGAGGGGCTCTCTGTTAGAGAGACTCTGCTTACAAGCAGACATCAGTGTGGCCAGACAAGGATTTAATCCATTTCCTGTCTCCCATTCATTCGTGTTATGTTTCTTTTCCTTATTGCACAAACTGTGGCTCAGGGTCAAGCCTTTGACAGAAGACTATCTAAGCTTACCCAGCCTAGCAGCTTCAGTCGTGTGATGTCCTTGCTGTTTGTTCACTTGCTCTTGGGAAGCTGGCAGCTCTACTTCTTGCTGGAGTGTTGTCATCTTGGCTGGGATGGGATGAGCTGCTCAGTTCTTACCCTCCACCCCAGACTCTGTTTAGCTTGGGCTCTGAGTTACTTTAGTTAACTTTAGTAGTCTTGGCTGGAGACTTTCCTTCAGCAGATCTATTCTTGAACTCTCTCCATTTGTGTACTGAAGGCTTCAGCTCCCGCAAGCCACAGGATATGCCTCTGCTTTGTCATGTTACAAAGTGAACGGGCAACTTTCCAGCAGTCTGGCTGAAGCTCCTGGTGCACTTAGAAAAATCACATGCCATTTATCTGTCTGAAGGAAGGGATAAAGTCTCTAGCTTGGTGTTTCAGTGGCAACTTAATCTCAGAGACTCTGCTGCCTGGATGGTTTCAGCCAGCTCCCAGTAAACCCAAGCATCTGATTTGTAACCCCTCCTGAGCAATCCTTTTGCTTCAGCATCTGCACGCTATTGCATGATCCTACCATTCTTAGGCTACACAGCTCCCTGAGGCTCACAGAGAAGGGTTAAAGGTCAGGCAAGGATTTAAGACCAGTGCTCGGTAGCTGGAGCTTTCATGGCTCCCTGTGCCTTCAGTCAAGCCATGCTGCCTCACCTCAAAGATGAGAACAGTACTGAACTGAGTAGTTCTGTCTTACTGTGTTTTATGACTTTGAGAATGATTCTATACACTAATTGGCCAAAATCAGCCTTATTTTGACTAGGGTATTTGTGTATTGCTGTTGTAGTCAGCAAATTAGTATCTGCAGAGGTAAATGAATATGGTTCTGTCATCATAGAAAAAAAGAATGTTCCCAGGTTGTGTGAGTTTTTATCCTGCTATTTTTGCTGTACTTGCTGGTCACATAACTGTTCTACTCTAGCCTTTGAGCATCCTGCCTCTGTAGCTCTTTCTCACTTCAGAAAATCTGGGAATTCCTTATAGCTGGCTTGTGCAGGGATGGGCTTACCTGGCCTCTGTACTTTCCCAAGAGCCACTGAAGCCCCAAACACAAAGTTACTCATCTATCAGCTTCAAACATCATTTAAAGGTGAGAGGGATGGAAGGGGAGAGCATCCTTGCAACACAGCAAATCTGGGCTGTGATGCCCTTTCCAACGCCTAGTCATTACATCATTTTTTTCCTTTTGGTATTTTAGATGGTTTGGCTTATCAAAATGCTTTGTGCTTTTGATGGCGTTGGTAACAAAAGCAGGCTACACATCTTTCATGGATCATTTTAGTTGTTCGGTGGCTTTGAATGTTGGGTTTTCTGTTTTTGTTGTTTTCGTTTAAACTGAGCACATTCCT